CATTCTTTTTATATCTACGGGATGCTGGGTTTTTTTTCTTAATGAAAGTCTATAAAACATATAGATATTTTTTTTCCTTGGGTTATTTTTCATTTCATTTCTTTTTTTTTTTTTTTTTGGCTTTCCTCCTAATGTTTACAAAATGATGAATCAAGGAATAAAGTTTGGGACCTTAAGGCTAGTGAAATATTTAAATTTTCTTCACATTCACTGATTATTTTAAATATGAAAAGAAGAAAGATCATGAAAAAAACTTTACATAATTTATGTGCAGTCATTTATGGTAAATCTATTTGCAGCAAAAACAAGCTCAGAGTAAAATCTGACTTTAGTTACAGAGTTTAGATTTTTCCACATATAGGATTGTCTTCCTATGTAGGCACATAGGCTTTTAAAAGTACTAAAGATGCAGAAAGGAGAGTGAGCACACATTCTGTTTCTCCAGACAGTCTTGTTAATGATGGTTGTGTTCTGTCTCCTCAGTGCCCCCTTTTACTCTACAATGTGCTTTGCTTTGGAGGATAAATTTGTGGTCACCCTGGAGATAAGCCATATAAAAACTGTGTGAAAATAGTGTGATCAATAGCTGAAATACTTCAAACTAAAGACAAATTTTTCAAAAGACTCTCAGAAAAGTTTGAGTTTCAGTGTTGAGCACTTTAATGTGTTAGACAAGTTCAAAAAATTCAGCACTGAATACAGACTAATGAAAACAGGCTCATTTAATTGATTAAAATATGCTTGCTTTCAAGTCATTACTTTCACATAGAGAGGCTTTCAAAGTTTTTAAAGTTAATAATTTTAAAAGAACCCCATTAGAAATGAATCATTTAAAAGGTCAAATTTAGGCTCAGCGCAGTGGCTCACGCCTGTAATTTCAGCACTTTGGGAGGTCGAGGCTGGCAGATCACGAGGTCAGGAGTTTGAGACCAGCCTGGCCAACATAGTGAAACCCTGTCTCTACTAAAAATGCAAAAAATTAGCTGGGTGTGGTGCTGGTCACCTGTAATCCTAGCTCCTTGGGAGGCTGAGGCAGGAGAATCGCTTGAAGCCGGGAGGTGGAGGCTGCAGTGAGCTGAGACCGTACCACTGCACTCTAGACCGGGTGGCAGTGCAAGACTCTGGCTCAAAAAATAAATAAATAAATAAATAAATAAATAAATAAAAGGTTAAATTTAAAAGATATTTGAAAAATTGTTAGATTTTCAGACTCCATCTGTAGTAAAATCAACAGTTGTACTAGAGTCTCAGAAAAAGGAATGACATTTTTTAATCTTAAACGAGGATACTCTGTGTGTGTGTGTGTGTGTATGTGTGTGTGTGCATGTGTACGCACATGCTATAGACTGATTTGGAACACTTCTGAAACCTATTAGTTCCCTTCTAAGAAAAATATTTGCTAAATGCATAAAACAAGATACAAAGTATTATAATGGAAATAAATTACATTGAAATGCAACTATTAAAATATCAAAATATATATATTTTAAAGTTTAGTAAAGTAATATATGAGCGTTTCAGTAACTCATTAAATACTAGTGAGCAGAAGATCTAATAACAATAATAATTACCAAATAGCAATGAGCAAAAATGATATTTTCAGGTTGTGTACAATAGCTATAATGTGATCTGAAAAGTCACAGTACTGTTCCTGCTACTCACATTTGCTTATTACTTTCACAATTGGAGGAAAGGCCATATTTCAGTTAAGAGGTTAGTGAAAATACAGTTGTAATTCTTCCCAACCAAGTTCATGAGCTTTTTGTATTCTATCCTTATCATTACAACACTAAGAAAGCCTAGAAGTCAAACAAGTTCGTTATAGGTGCTCACTTAATAAATCAAATAATTACTCTTTCTTGTAATCAGACTACGAAACTACATTTCCAAAAACAAAAAGCCCACTGAATGCTTTTTTTTCCCTTATCTAATAAAGGTTTTCACTGTAAATTCATCTCAGTTCATTGTGTGGGTGAAAGCAGTCAGATAAAATGTAGTATAGACACTGAATGTATTGAAAGAAAACAAAGTGGGTGCTTTGTAGGATTTTTCTAAAAACCAAACGGAAAAGTCTTGGAAACACAGATGCGACATTTTATCTTAAGCATTGTACCTCTTTATCCTATCACTAATATTTAAAAGCTAAATTATATTTTTGCACAGTTTTTCTTCATTTGCATTTTCTTATTTTAATTTTACAGTGTAATGTATTAATTGACTGTTTACACTTTCTTTTGCAAAACGTTGAATGAAATCCAATAAGCAAGGACACCAAATATGTACATGCACAGCAAGGCCCCTCAGCCACAGCAGCACCACTTCCTGGAACAGACTACAAGTGAAAAATGAGTGGTAATTAAACACAGCTGCTGCCCAAGAGGTAAGGTAGAATCATAGATCATTAGAACCTAAAGGGACTGGAGAAGCCATTTTGTCTAACCCTTCACTTTGCAAATGAGGAATCAGAGACACTGAGTAGTTAGGAGACTTGGTTTGGGCCAAGGGTTGACCCTGGAGAAGCATCAGTGATGTCTGATAGTTAAAGTAACTCTTCTTACCACTTCTCAGGGCGAGTTCTGTTCCTGAGTCTGCTTCTATCCAAGCATAGCTATCAAGATAAGGGGTTACAGTCAACTAGAAATACATCTTATTTATAGATTTTTGCTTCCAAATATGCCAAGTTAGAAGACTTACATGGTTGATCCCATCTCTTGAACAGAAGACTTAAAAGATCAAGAATTTGTTTTGAATACTTTTCAAAGTCTGATTTATTAGCTATGTTATTCTAACCAGTGAAAATCCAATAAAATCATCCCTAATTTTATCTTAATTTTTTAAATGGCTTTTCTTTCTTATTATAAAATGAATCATATATGTTAATTATAACAAAGACAAATGAAGAAGAAAATAAGCAGCCACATCCCAAGATGTAATACTGGTAATATTTTAGCATATTTTTCTAGTTATATATGTATGTATGAATACAGAGCTATATACACATATTATACATTAGTATGATATCACATATAAAATTTTATATTCTGCCTTTTCTCCTAGCATTATACCATGAGAATTTTCCCCACTGAATTAAAATTATTTCCAAAACATCATTAATATGAAAGTCTGTGTCTGGATGTTATTAAAGCAATAACGTTTAAAGACATTACAATATATAAAGTTATTTCATATAATTTCTGATCACTGGATTTTTAGGTTATCACTGGACCATGTAACTCTACTGCAGTAAATTTCTGTAAATCAAAAATATTAAAAATATGTTTATGAGATAGCCTTTAGATAGATTTAAATGCAAATCTAAAATTACTGGAGGAAAATGTATATAATATTCCAGGAAATCAGATAAATGAAAACTCAGAGATACCACTTACTGCTATTAAATGCAGAAGTTTCTAAAAGGTATTGTATCAATAGATTTTGACAGGGCTCTGTAAAGTCACGATGGAACACAGTGCTCATACAATGAAGTAGCAACTGGTGCAAACGTTTAGTGCCTGGCACATCGCAGGAGTACAATAAATATATTTGTTGTGTGAACAAATGGAAATTAATTTGTGAATACGTATCAAGACATCTCAATATAGTTATGCTCCTTAACTGATAATATTATTTAAGGGAATATATACAATATATACACTTAGGTAGTCACTGCAATATTCTTAAAAGACAAAGATTGGTCACAACCAAATGCCTAAGATTCGTATAATGGTTAAGTAAATGATGTAGGTCTATAGAGCCAAGAATCCTTAATTTTCACATTAATTTAAGAACTACACTAAAATCATACATGTGTTGCCTGTAATTCTTAGCTTAAAATGATTGAAATATTTTAAATACTAGCATATTTAATCTCTTGGTGTAATATTTTATTTAATTCTTTTAATGAAATACAGGTTTAGCATCCCTAATCTAAACATCTGAAATTAGAAATAAAGTCTAAAACTTTTTGAGTCCTGATGTTATGCTACGAGTGGAAATTCCACCCACAAGTACTTAACACATATTTTGTTTCATGCACAAAATTATTTAAAATATTGTATAAATTTATCTTTAGGCTGTGCATGTAAGGTGTATATGAAACATAAATGAATTTCATGTTTAGATTTGACTCCCCTCCCCAAGATGTAACATTTTGTATATACAAATATTTCCAAACTGCTGGAAATTCAAACCCTGAAACACTTCTGGTCCCATACACTTTGGAAAAGGGATATTCAACCTGCAACTATTAATTTTAAAATTGAAGAAAACCACCGTGTTTGGAAAAAACCCTGAGAAGGCTAGGCGCAGTGGCTCATGTCTGTAATCCCAGCACTTTGGGAGGCCGAGGTAAGCAGATCATGAGGTGAGGAGTTCAAGACCATCCTGGCTAACACTGTGAAGCCCTGTCTGCCAAAAATACAAATAATTAGCTGGGTGTGGTGGTGGGCACCTGTAGTCCCAGCTGCTTGGGAAACTGAGGCAGGATAATGGTGTGAACCCAGGAGGTGGAGCTTGCAGTGAGAAGAGATTGCATCACTGCACTCCAGCCTGGGCGACAGAGCGAGACCCCATCTCAAAATCAAACAAACGAACGAATAAACAAACAGTAAAACTCTGAGAAGCCCAGATGAATAGATGAAAGAACTATTAATATTGTCTTCCTTCCAAAATACATTCTTATAGTCAATTTCAGAAGTGCCACTCATTTGTTTCTCCTCATATACTATAGAAGATAGGGCCAGAGTTTCCTTTGATAGTGACACCAACAGTGAGAGAAAGTCATGACTTTCTGTTTTCCCAGTTCCATCACTTAGATAACCCTGTTGTTTCTTCTTGCTAATTGTAGCTAGGCTCACTATTGAAAACTGTGTTGAATCTCTTTCCCCTTCTTCACCACCCTGCTGCCTTATACACACACACACAGACACACACACACACACAGACACACACACACAGACTTGGAGAGGTAACCCTTTAACAAACAACAGGAGTCACAATACCTTTATAAGTTCTGAGGGTTCACTTCCTTCTTCCACGACAATTAGTTCAGACCTTCCTTTCCTTTCATTGTAACGAATGCCAGTAGCTACCTGGTTTGCCTTCAGACGTTCATATTTGTTGCATGAGGAACCACACCACTGATAAATTTTCTAAAAGAAAGAGAGAGATCTGTTGACTCTAAGAATATGAGGAAGACATTCAACCTCAGTGTAATACTTTGATTAACTAGGAAAGAAAAAGGAAAATTAAATGACCTGTTGTTAAGGTGTATACATAATTGTTATACTTCACTCTGCATTCTGCTGCTTTCAGGTAGCATTACAAAGTAAGCAGTTTTTAAGCATGGAAAATATAATATATATATCACCTTTCTCTGTGTATATAATCTATAAATTACAATTTATGAAAGTAAACATATGGATAAAATTTGAAATAATAAATATATCACACTTCAGAAAAGAAGTCAAGAATCTGTTAAGATACTCTTGATGATCATAAAATTAATATAACACTTTTGTAAAACTATTCATGTTTTTAAATTGACAAATACATATTGTATATATTTATTGTGTATAACATGATGTTTTGATATATGTATACATTGTGGAATGGCTAAATCAAGATAATTAATATATGTAAAGCAATTTAACAATTCTTATGAAGAGCAATAAAAAGATTGATACTGTCCCAGTAATATCACTATCTGGCACTTACTTTAATAAATAATTCATAAAAGGAGAAAAAAACCACACATATAAGGGTGCTCATTGCTATGTGACTATATTGGTGAGGCCGTGGAAAGGCATTAATTGTTCAAGAATAGGATAATAGTCATATAAATTGTGATACATAGGGAAACTTTGATACTTAACTGTTAAAATTAAACTTTAACATCAAAACATGAAAAAGTAGAAACAGAATAACCAGGTGATATATTGTAGCAATTATATTAGCTACCATTTAGATTAAACTACTATATATTTTGGATTGTAGATTTTAGTGTAGTGTCCAAAAGGTATACAGATACAAATGTAAAATAATAATAAAAAATTATCTCCTCCATTAACATTGTTTAACAAAAGAAAGAAAGAGAAGTTGAATAACAACCAGAACTGGAGGGGCTGTGGGAATGGGCATTATCATCCACTATTTGGGTGGTATAAACTGACACAGGTTTTTTAAGGGTAGTTTAGCATCATTATAAAAAAATTAAGGCCAGGTGCAGTAGCTCACGCCTGTAATCCCAGCACTTTGGGAGGCCAAGGTGGGCAGATCACGAGGTCAGGAGATCAAGACCATCCTGGCTAACATGGTGAAACCCTGTCTCTACTAAAAATACAAAAAATTAGCCAGGTGTGGTGGCAGGTTCCTGTAGTCCCAGGTACTTGGGAGGCTGAGGCAGAAGAATGGCTTGAACCGTTCATGAGGTCACGCCACTGCACTCTAACCTGGGGGACAAAGCGAGACTCTGTCTCAAATAAATAAGTAAATAAATAAATGTGCTTTTAATGTCAAGAAATTCCATTTATAGGAATCTATAATACAGAAATATTCAAACATGAGATATAAAAACAAAAGAAACTGTTGCAGGAAGTCAGGGACCCCGAACGGAGGGACCGACTGGAGCCACAGCAGAGAAACATAAATGTGAAGATTTCATGGGCATTTATCACTTCCCAAATAATACTCTTAAAATTTCTTATGCCTGTCTTACTTTAATCTCTTAATCCTGTTATCTTCCTAAGCTGAAGATGTACGTCACCTCTGGACCACTATAATTGTGTTAACTGTACAAATTGATTGTAAAACATGTGTGTTTGAACAGTATGAAATCAGTGCAGCTTGAAAAAGAACAGAATAACAGCAATTTTTAGGGAACAAGGGAAGACAACCATAAGGTCTGACTGCCTGCAGGGTCAGGCAAAATGAGCCATATTTTCCTTCTTGCAGAGATCCTATAAATGGACGTGCAAATAGGAGAGATATCGTTAAATTCTTTTCCTAGCAAGGAATATAAATATTAAGACCCTAGGAAAGGGTTTCTCCTGGGGGGAGGTCTATAAATGGCCACTCTGGGAGTGTCTATGTTATGCAGTTGAGATAAGTACTGAAGTATGCCCTGGTCTCGTGAACTATCCTCAGGCTTACCAGGATTGGGAAATTCCAGCCTGGCAAATTTTTGGTCAGACTGGTTCTCTGCTTTCGAACCCTGTTTTCTGTTGTTTAAGATGTTTATCAAGACAAAACGTGCACAGCTGAACACAGACCCTTATCAGTAGTTCTGTTTTGCCTTTTGTCCTGTTTCCTCAGAAGCACGTGATCTTTGTTTTCTTTTTGTCCTTTGAAGCATGTGAGCTTTGTGATCTACTCTGTGTTCTTGCACACCCTCCCCTTTTGAAATCCTTAATAAAACTTGCTGGCTTTAAGGCTCAGGTGGGCATCATGGTCCTACTGATATGTGATGTCACCCTCGGAGGCCCAGCTGTAAAATTCCTCTCTTTGTACTCTTTCTCTTTATTTCTCAACAGGCTGACACTTATGAAAAATAGAAATAATCTACTTTGAAATATTGGTGGCGGGTTCCCATGATATCTGGCGCCCAACGTGGGGCTCAAACCCAGCACCCTGAGATTAAGAGTCTCATGCTCTACTGACTTCCCCCGATAAGAAACACAACAAATGGCCATCAATAAGAGGATGGCTAAATAAATGTCATTGCATGAATGCTGTCTACTCCTCTTCAGTAGTTAAAAATTAAGGAAAATGTTTAAATACTGATGTAGAAAATTAGTGAAGGTATATCATCAAGAATACAATAAAGACATAGAATAATATAATTACGTTAAAGTAGAAACAAAAACACAAGCTCTGTCTCTGTGTTTGCACAAAAAAAAGATAAACAGTTTTAAGAGATTCAGAGGGCATGCATATGCAGAAAGAAAGTCTTCAATGTTTACTGTATCTAAGTCAGTGATTTTTTTTGTTTGTTTTTATGTCACATACATTTCTAGGTGCTTATTATGCTGGGGATACACAGATAAATAAGAAAAAACTAGCAAGGAGAGGTGGACAGGTAGAAAAATTGGCTAATACATTTGCACCGTGCTTAGTTTTCACAACATTCCCACGCACATTTCATCTAGTCAGCCATGTAGAGTTGTGGTTAAGTGTGAGGTAAATGGAGCTAGGCTGCCACTCTCTGGGTATTTGATAGTGTGTTTGCAATTTTTCAAAAGAGTAAATAAATTAGAAATAGCACAAGAAAACATTCAGAGAAATGGACTCTTTTCTCTGATTACATTTCCAGCCCAGAGTCATTTCTTCACTCAAAAAATGGTTTACTGAGTGACTAAAATGGGGCAACCTCTCTTGTAGATACTGGAAGCACCATTCTGAACAAAATAGGCTTGCAACAGTCTCTATGACCTCTGCTTAACATTCCTGATTACCTAGTCCACAGTCTTCCTTAAGAATAAAACACGCATTTTAGGAACGCAAAACTTTATAAGAAATAAAATCAAAAGGACTATGTCTAGCAATCTTTTTCTCTCAATAATTGAATGCAGTTATTTTGTATGGTCAAAGGGCATGGTCAAAGGTCAAAGTATAGTAAAACCATATCTAGGAAATACCCACAAAAATAGTAAAACTTTAAATTATTTCTAAAAGAATAGTGCACTTCTACTGTTTCTTTTTAACCTCTTTTCTACATTTGGGCATTGGAATATGAGGCTCACATGTGGAGGTCATTTGAATACCATGACAAAGTTAGCAGTTAGAAAGAGCGAAAATAAAGGACTCCCACTGATCAGTCAGCTCTTAGCCACTGACCATTAAAATCAGATAATGGAGTAGCAAGGTAATTTTTAAAAATACAAAGATGTGAGTTCTATCTTTAGGAAATCTCAGGTGTGTTCTGGGCAGCTGTGTTTATTAAAAGCTCCCCAGGTGATTCTAGCATTCAACCAGTGCACACCAGGTATGATGTACTCTGAGCACGCCACACTTGTTGTGCACGATAGGGAATCTGTAACATCTAATTATCCAATGTAACTCAGCAGACTTTTCTGCTGAGCACAAACTAGTGTTTTTGTTTTGAAAACATTTTACTTATACTTGACTCATGACAGAGAAACATTGACCCTAGAAATCAGAATATTTTTTCCTACATGTATCTTTGTTTTTGTTTTAAATTTTTAATTTCAATAGATTTTTTTGGGAACAGGTGGTATTTATTTAGATGAATAAGTTCTTTAGTGGTGATTTCTGAGATTTTGGTGCTCCCATCACCCGAGCAGTGTACAGTGTACCCAATGTGCAGTCTTTTATCCCTTACCATCCCTCATCCTTTCCCCTGAGTCCCCAGTGTCCAATGTATTATTCTTATGCCTTTGCATCCTTATAGCTTAGCTCCCACATATCAGTGAGAACATATGTTTGGTTTTCCATTCCTGAGTTACTTCACTTAGAATAATAGTCTCCAATTCTATCCAGGGTGCTGTGAATGCCATTATTTCATTCCTCTTTATGGATGAGTAGACTTAAATCTAAGACCTGAAACCATAAAGATTCTAGAAAATAACATTGGAAAAACCTTTCTAGACATTGGCTTAGGCAAAGACTTCATGACTAAGAACCCAAAGCAAATGCAACAAAAACAAAGGTAAATAGATGGTACTTAATTACACTAAAAAGCTTCTTCACAGTAAAAGAAAGAATCAAGAGTTAACATACAATCCACAGAATGGGAGAAAATATTAGCAACTATGCATTTGACAAAGGACTAATATCAAGAACTACAAATAACTCAAACACATCAGCAAGAAACAATCCCATCAAAAAGTGGGCTAAGGACATGAATAGACAGTTCTTAAAAGAAGATATACAAATGGCAACAAACATGAAAAAATGCTCAACTTGACTAATTATCAGAGAAATGCAAATCAAAACCACAATACAATACCACCTCACTCCTGCAAGAATGATCATAATGAAAAAATAAAAAATAATAGATGTTGGTGTGGGTGTGGTGAAAAGGGAATGCTTTTATACTGTTGGTGGGAATGTAAAGTAGTAACGACCACTATGGAAAACAGCGTGGAGACTCCTTAACAAACTAAAAGTAGATCTACTGTTTGACCCAGCAATT